CTAAGAGCTCCATCTCAATAGCAATGGCCTTCATCAATGGCCTCCATCCTAATAGCAATGGCCAACCTACTAGCAATGGCCTCTAAAATAGCAATGGCCTCCATCCTAATAGCAATGGCCTTCCATCCTAATAGCAAGCCTCCGACCTACTAGCTATGGCCTCTATCCTAATAGCGATGGACTCCATCCTACGTAATAGCAATGGCCTCCATCCTAATGGCCATGGCCTCCATCCTAGCGATGGCCTCCAGGTCCTTCCTCATCCTCTTCACCCATGCATCGCCTTTACTTTAAGGCTGGGTGTTTCCAGTACAACAGGTTTTCTTGGCACTTAATTGCATCATTGCCCTGCACAAAGGAGGGTTTTTGAAAGAGTTTAGGTTTTGGACGAGCAGAATAGACATCACAAATTACACAACTAGAAGGCTTCAAAAGGCCCAAAGGCTTTAGGTGGAGGCCATCGCTAGTAGGTTGGAGGCAATAGCTTCTAGGTTGGAAGCCATTGCTATTGATTAGGTTGGAGTCCATTGCTTCTAAGTTGGTGTATTCTATACATTGATTCTAGGCTCAAAAGGCCCAAACTCTTCAGCTGCGCCAAAAAACACCTGCAACACATGCAGCAGTTCACGCTCCTCCCGTGGATCCCGCAGTTCACGCTCTCCCCGCTCGGCCTCCGCCTGGTGAAACATCCGCTTCCCACGGGTCGTCCGAAAGCAGAGAACACGTGGCAACAACCACAAACCTAATAGCTACTAGTAACAAGTGCCTCGCTAGTAGTAACAAAGTTCGCTATTAGAATTAAACTTAAATTAAACTAAAATAGCTTCTTGTTACTACTAGTAAGGCACTTGTTACTAGAAGCGATGCACTTTTTTCCTAATAGCTTCTTGTTACTACAAACGTCTTTTCCGGTTTCGAGTTCTTCTCTCCTAGTAGATATCACGCAATCACGCAATTGAAGATCTCTTCCTGTCTGCACCAATCACGCAATCACGTCCGAGAGAGGTGTTCTGAAAGTCATCGAAATCATTCCCCCGAAGAGCTTCTTTGAAGAGCGCTATTAGGTTGGAGGCCATCGCTATTGACTATTAGTACTCAAAAGAAGATTGTTTTTTGTTCAAGTAGCGATGCACTTGTTCCTAGAAGCTTCTTGTTACTAGTGGCGATGGCCTCCACCCTAGTAGTTTCTTGTTACTAGTCGCGATGCACTTGTTCCTAGAAGCTTATTGTTTCTAATAGCTTCTTGTTCATACTAGTAAGGCACCTGTTACTACTAGTAAGGCACTTGTTACTAGTCGCGATGCACTTGTTACAGAGTCTCGCTGGTGTCTCGTCCGAACGACGTCCCTCGGGCCTTGGCCTCCGACTTCTGCAGCGCCTCGGTCGGTGACCGTCGGAACGAACCGTAAAAAGAGACCATGCCGTCAACGTGCAAAAACATGCAGGGGACATGCGAACAAGTATCTGAGTATATTGGAGCAAATCAAGAAATGCTTCATGCTTCCACTCAGTCTTGAGATCTTTGGAAGGTCTCTGACCGGATTCTACTTCTAGGAACAAGGACGCTACTAGGAGCAAAGGGCATCGCTACTAGGAGCAAGGACGCTACTAGGGGCTCCTGGTCTTACTACTAGGGTCTCTTCTGCGATCTCCCGACTCTGAGCGCCCCCCAGCAGCACTGGCGTTCTTCGCCAAAGTCTGCCTTGGAGCATCGACCCGTAGATCAGGCGAATCTTCGGAACCTCCCCGGGTGGAAGCCCAACCTCCCAGTTCTCAGTCTGACGGAAGCGAGTCAGGACTCTGCTGTTTTTGGGTGGGACGCCATTGCTATTGAGAATATTAGGCTGGAGGCCATCGCGTTGGAGGCCATTGCTACTAGCAAGAAGCTACTAGTAGCCAAGGGCATCGCTACTAGTAAACAAGAAGCTACTAGTAGCTCCTGGCCTTACCAGGAGCAAAGGACGTGAGTTTCTTAGCCTTTGAGTTGAACGGCACGAAGCACGAAGCACCTGCCTTGATCATCGGCGAACCCCCGACGTCCGAGACATCCAACGATCGACTCCCATGCGTTCCGAGAGCTCCGCATGAGGTGAAGCTAAAAAACACCCGATATGTCACCAGCAGTTGCCACAAAAGTCGACTGAGGGGCGTATGATGGGAGGATTTACAGAGTTTTCCTAGCTCTTTTTTGCTTTTTTAGGATCGAAGTTCCACTTGGATCAGAGCTTCTACTAATGATAACGTATGTCTGATTATGTTTGTCAGAGAATGTGTCTCCTGTCTCATGCTGTTTCCATGATCCAGCGTCTCTCAGAGAGACAAGATGTAAGAGGTCCTTTGTAGTAATGGCCTCCAACCTAAGAGCGATGGCCTCCAACCTGAGAGCGATGGCCTCCAACCCTAGTAGTGATGGCCTCCAACAAGGTCCTTACTTTGTCAAAGTTCTGCCAGGTGACGTGAGAGGATGTTGATCTCCCAAACACCGCTTGGCGACCTCGTGGCCCTGCTGATAGGCCATCGCTGCCTGGATAAACTGAGCAAAGAGCAGCCACCATTTATGAAGGCTAAATGGAGGGTGCGTGGAGAAAGGGGGTCAGCAAAAAACCGCTTATACGAAGTTAGTACATCCAAAATACCTTCCACAAAGTTCTGCGAAGGTTTCTGGGATTTCGTTGCAGTCAGTTCTCCTACTGGCCCACCATTCCACGAACTGTCCACGAATAGCCTTGGGTTCTACGAATGTCCCGCGCCTTCCACGATGTTAGTAGAACAGGTTTTTGCAAAACCCTTTCTGTGCACCACCCTTCCGTTTGCCTCTGAATTTATAGCAGCGAAATTCCTTTATAACTTGTTTCTGGGACAGGAATCGTTCTTTTTCAAGCACGACTGCGTCTTGTTCGTCGCGGTAACAAAGATATGATTCACCACCGTGTGTACCACAAGCATGTCCAGTTCAATCCGATGCACCTCGTGTAGCTGCTGCAAAAAGTCGTGCTCCACCGCCACGTTATGGTAGGCAATGGCGAGCACCGAGTATTCGTCCTCTTTTTTGCTTGCTGCAAAATGACATGGCTGAAGATGTGCAGGACTCCAGGATCTACGACAACCTTTCGAACCACCTAAATATGCAAAACACATGAAAAGTTGCCCTTCAATCCTTTTTCAAAGGCTTCAGTCCTGCGAAGAGCTCTCGCCCAAGGAGTCGGTCCGACTCTTGATCAATTCCAACGCACAAAGCGCGTGTTGGAGCGCCTGCAACGGCGAATGAAGGCACTGAAAACACCGAAGTTGCCCGAAATGCTCCGTTCGTAGCGAACCTTGCTCCTAGTAACAGGTGCATCGCTAGTAGTAACAAGTGCCTTACTAGTAGTAACAAGAAGCTACTAGGAACAAGTGCATCGCTAGTAGTAACAAGAAGCTGTTAGAATTAAATAGAATTAGTAAGAATGCTACTAGTAAGGCCAGGAGCCCCGTTCGTAGCGTCCTTGTTCCTAGTAGCGATGCCCTTTGCCCCTAGTAGTGTCCTCTACCCGTTCTCCCAAAGAACACCTGAACCGTCAACCCAACTCGGCCGAAACCAACCAAAGTCCTGCCTTGTCATGTTTGTCCAACTTGGAAAGGATGGCGCACACATTCAAATGCGTGCCGGCCACGGTCACATCATCCGTCTGTAAGGACACCTGCCGGTTCCAATGCAAAGCTTCCAACCAAAGACTCTTTTGTGGGCCTTCAACCCTTGTCCAATGGGCAAGAATCAAGCCCAGTACAACTGGTTCACGCATGTTTATTTGTATTTTTTGCAAACTACATATTGAAACAACAAACACTGTCAAACACCGAAACTTGATACCCTAGTCTAGAGTTACCGAGCATATGCACCAACATATTTCCACACCACAAAAGTTCAACTTGTTCAACTTGTTCACGACATGTGTTCCTCATAGTGAGAAGAACGATCAACAAGCCGACCGTGCCAAGAACTACTTACTAGTAGTAACAAGGTTCGCTACTAGGAACAAGTGCCTTACTAGTAGTAACTATCACTTTGGTCTCCTCGATTTTCAAGGCTTTTCGCAGGTAGCTCAGGGCTGCGTGGAGTTTTCCCACCTCCAGCGCGTCGAGAGGCGAGGTGTCGAACGCGCAGCGCGGCCCGTGGCGGTGAGGCGCAAAAACATGAGGGGAAGCACATGAGAACAAATAGGTCCGCCAAAGCGTGGCCATAAAAATGACAGGTCAACTTCTGTAGGCCTGATACACTTGCCCTCTCACCAGAAGGAAGGCCTTCTTGTAGTAGCAGCCGAGGTTGTTGCATGTCACTGACATCAAGTTGGTTGCCTCATCCTCAACAGCACAACTGGCACGTGCTGCTCTGCTAGCGGCACAGTGTGGCCACACATGCTGAAAGGTCCTTGCCCTGTTTGGAGACCACCAGGGCTTCGGCGTACTTCAGTTGCTCAAAGGCTGGCGCAAAGAGACTCCATTCACACACAACAGTAGCAGTGAATTGATTATCAAACACCCTCAGAAAGGAGATGCAAAAGTAAAGACAACATTCTTTTTCTTTCATCTATATCTGCTTATCTCTTTAGAACACAGACCGCTCAACACATCCCAGCTTCACCTTGTTTGTATTGCCCCTTTCGGAGAAGGTCCATGCCCTCTTTGTTGCTGGTGAGTACGACTTTCTCATAGTCCACCGCCGGCACATTCCCCACGTTCCTCCCAGCAATCAGCGATCCATCAGTTGCTCTGAAATCGACGACCGCAGTCTGTCACGGTCGAGCGCTCTGCACTCTGAGCGCTCGAGCGGAAGCACATCGGTCTCGAACGTGACACCTCAACGTGCGGTCTCGAATTGATGGCGGACGCTTTGATCTGCTTCTCTGTGACATATCCTCCACACGTCTATCAATGCGGACTGAAGAGCTGAATCATGCTAAATATCTCCAATCTTAAGGAAGCAAACAAATCATCCCAGGACGAATCTGAGAAAGCTCCAATGCCTATAGAAGTCTACAGGTAACGTTTTGGGATGCCGTCAGGGGGGGCCCCCCCCGACGAACAGAATCATCTCTTACAGGACCAAACTCAATGCACAATCCCAACTCCTGATTGTAATACATTTTTGCTAAAGCAAGGAGAACTCAGGTAGCTCAAGCTACCTTTCGTGATTATACTATCCTCAGATACCCTCAATTCCTTCCAATGTCCTTCCCCACCTTCACAACTGAGCTGCTGGCCATCTCCGGAGCCCCCGGCCGCCATAGTTAGACGCGCCGCTTCGAGAAAAAGCACAACAAAATAGCGGGGGAGAAGAACGAGAAGAGCGCGGGGCTGGTCATTGGTGCCATGGGTGCCATGCCGTCTGCCCGGGTTGTCCCGGTTGTCTCCCAAATCACTGTGGGAACAACATGAGAGACTTCCTTTAACATGATTCTACACGGGGCAAGGACGCTACTAGGGGCTCCTGGCATCGCTACTAGGAGCAAGGACGCTACTAGGAACTCCTTAACATTATTCTACACGGTGTGTTTGTTTCTTGCGTGGAGTAGTTCACCGCGAGGTCGCCGGCTTGGTGAACCTGACGTTGCGCGTGCGTTGCGCAGACTGCGCTGAAGTCAGAAATCTGAGTTCCGATCGCTCAGAACTTGTGTGGTTTAACACGGGTGAGACTCAAGATCAACGAATTCCGCGAGCTACACGTGCAACGGATTCGCACTCAGGTGGAGCGAGGTGCAATCACATAGCCTGAAGACATTGTAAACCCAACGGTTGATGGAGTCTTGCGAGACAAACCGCCCCAAAGGAGATACGAATGGGACCAAACATGCTGATCAACAATGGGCCTTCTAGAAGCTGAACGCCCTTTTCATGCAGTTCATTGACACCAACCAAGGGCTCGCATCAAATTGGGCTTGAGATGGCTTGAAGATGCATGTTCATGAGGTCCTCCAGAAATCTACAGCAACAGCCAGGTCTACCAGTGCTCAGTGCTCCGAACCCGATGATCCTTGCGCCCCATTGCGCCCCACACCGGATGAGGCCTCCTCCACCTGTGGACCGGAAGCATTTGCCGCTCAAGTCGGTCTTGATCGCCTGGCGACGACTTGGCTCGCAGCTCAGCTCCGAAACTGCCAGAGTTGCTTGGTTGGGTGAATGGCTAGCTGATTGCAAGACTGAATTAAACAAAAAGTAAGTAAAACAGCGCGAACCTCCTCAATCTCTTGCATCTCCTTCTTCTTGTCCTGGCACAGTTGTGTCTAGACTAGTGTCCATAACCTGTGTCCGACCTGTATCTGACCTGTCCTTCCAGAAGCACCGCACCGGAAGCACCGGTCCGCACCCTCACTCACCGCACCACGCGTTGGGCCTCGATTTCCTTGCTCAAGACTTTCGCACGCTTCACGAAGTCCTCCACCTCCACCTCGTGGAGCGACCGCGCGGCGCGGTCGGCGAACGGCGAAAGCCTTGGTGCCAAGTTTCACTATTTTTCAGTCGGAAGGATGGATGGATGGATGAATGCATGTATGAATGAATGAGAAGGAGAGAGAGAGAGAGAGAGAGAGAGAGGGAGAGAGAGAGAAAGAAAGAGAAAGCATGCCAGGATGAAGCGATCGTCCAGTTGTTCTGGCACAGAATTATTCAAACATGATGCTTCTAGGTTGGAGGCGATCGCTTTAAGGTTTCTTAATGTCTCCTTCCAAAGACGCTACTAGGGGCTCCTGGCCTTACTATTAGGAACAAGAAGCTATTAGGAACAAGAGGCTACTAGGGGCTCCTGGCATCGCTACTAGGAGGAAGGACGCTACTAGGGGCTCCTGGCCTTACTATTAGGAACAAGAAATAAGTAAAATTAGAATTTCAGAACTCAGATTTGTCCAGTACCAGGGCTGGCTGGGCCGGCGCAGGGACTGGACTCAGCCATGGTCCATCCATTGGCTGCTGGGGCGTTGGCATATTCTGCGTTGTTGCCTGGGCCGAAGGTGGCCAGGCACTCAGGTCTCACCGATAGCAAGTGCTTGATCTTCTTTATGCGACTTAGCCTGATGGTGTGGTGCAGTGGTGAGTCCTCATGTTCTCTTCAATCATAAGGTTTTGCCAGCTCCAGTTAGCGAAACGTCCAGGAGTTCAGCCATTTCGACTCTCAAACAACTAAGCAATGCAAGCAGAATACTTGATGTAACCATAGAGATGGCCTCCAACCTAAGAACTAGCAATGGCCTCCAACCTCATATTACTTAATCTAACCATGGACTTGGGATTTCCTAGGACGTCCCATGTAGCTAGATTTTATAGAACCGACTTGTCATGGCATTCGGTCGTGGCTTAGCTCCGAGCACAAGGCCAGGGCTCGACTTGTGACTCGATAGGCCGCGCGTTTGGCGTCCTGGTCGCACAGCCATGGCAAGAACATGCATCGGCTTCTTGTTCCTAGTAGCTTCTTGTTACTACTAGTAAGGCACTTGTTACTAGTAGCGATGCACTTGTTAATAGTAGCTTCTTGTTACTTGCGAGAGAAACACCTTGTGACTTTGGATGGTTCGGTCTGAACGACCGTTTCGGCCATGTTCAGCCTATCTGGTCTCTACTTCTCAGAAGTGATCTGAACCCGGTCCTCCGGTAATCTGTTTGCAGGTCGATTTGTCCTCAGCGCCGCGGCGCTGCGTCAGTCCAGCGCTGCATGAGGTCTACGTCCGTTGAGCTCATCGAATTGAGGGCGTGACACAGTTTGGAGACTCCAAGCGAGTTCCTGCAACTTCCTGGCACAACAGAAGCCCGAGGCAACTTCGTGTTCGTGGCGTGGACCGTTGAGGTTGGGCAACATCCGATTCAAGCAGTCACTGGAAACGTCGTCCACTGCGGAATTGCCTAATATGCTTTTGGTCATTTGGTCTTTCAATCGGCATCGGCCAGAAACTGGACTCCAGGCCGCCCCTGAGGACTCCATCGGTCCTGAGGCGGCTCCTGTCCCGACGGATCCTGGGGCGCCCAACTTCACACGAGGATCGTTCTCGCCGATCATCTCCAGATCCTCAACGGGTGTCTCGTTGATCAGGCGATGAGGCAGGAAGATCAAAGTTTCTAAAGCATCTTAAGACAAAATGAAGAACAAGACTTCCTTGTTCCTAGTAGCTTCTAGCTACTAGTAGTAATGGCCTCCGACGAAATAGCGATGGCCTCCAACCTAGTAGCTTCTTGTTACTAATAGAGAAGAACACGATTGAACACAACGCCTTTCGATCTCTCTGAGGTTGTGAGGAAGACCCCCAATCCTTCTCACCGTTGCAGCCTATTTTTGGAGTGCGAAAGCACTGTCAAGTCATACACGAGATGACGTCATTTCGTCTGTACTCATTCGCTTCGTCACTTCGCGGTTGTGGTGCCCGGCATCATCATCCGCTTTGGCGTCTTCGCCAGCCATGGCGACAAGAAACAATCTTCACCGGGAGGTGAAACGACTTCAGATTCTCGTCGCAAGCTCGAGACCGAAGGCGTGTTAATGTTCGTAACTGTCTTTGTGCGTCTCCTGACGTGTTCTTTTCTGATTGAAGTATGCGACAAAACGGACTGACCCGGAACGAAAGATGTCAATCGGGTTGACTGTCTGAGACTGTCGGCTGATATCGTCACAGAACCGATCCGTCTGACAGCAAGTTGGCGAACGGACGCTACGAACGGGGCTACGAACGGAACACGAAGAGCAAGGACGCTACTAGGAACAAGAAGCTACTACGGGCTGCTGGTCGTACTACTAGGAGCAAGGACGCTACTAGGAGCTCCTGGCATCGCTACTGGGAGCAAGGACCCTACTAGGAACAAACCTCCTTTTCTTCACGCCGAAAGGCTGAATTCGGCGGGCTTTGCGGGCTTGCCAGGGGCAGGTGTGCCATTGTGCCGAATGGAAAGCTGTAGCAACTCATGTCAAAAGTCCTACGCTCAGTGCTAAGCATCCCAAGCAACTTTGGGTCTTAAAATTCCTTTGCCAAAGGTACAGCATCTGTTGGGTTCTTTTGGGTCCTATTATTGGTCTCCTATCTTCTGACCATCCGGTTCACCGGAATCCCAAATGTAGTTTCAACTGATCAAGTGCCAAGCCAACCCGACACCACGAAGCATGGAAAACTTTACCTCTGTCGTACGAATATCCCTGGTATGAGGTGCAGGAATATAAGACAAGTACAGCTGGTCTGTGATATTGAATGCATGCAAAAACCCGAACAGTGTGCAATTGTTGGATAGAACTGGCTATCCCACCAAATGACGGATATATGATGATATATGTCTAGTATGCAGTCACAGGTTACCTCAAGTACTTCTGGGATTTGTGCCTGCTACCAGTTCTGGTGTTGTGCCTGTCGAAACGGACATTCACAAATCTCTATGTGGCGGAGCATTGTCCATCAGCTTTCCAAGCGGCTGAGAAAAAAAACATACAACTCCTGGAGTTTTTTAAAGAGCGCAGGCCTCACTGGTAAAGCTAGTAGCCATTGTTAGGGCATGTGCTTCTTTTCATCCAGCTGAACCCGTCTAGCTCGCAAAAAAACTCGGACAGGAGCACTTGAAAGATGCACTATCCCGGTCAGCTTATCCTTTCTGTTCAGGAGCAACATGTGTCAGCTCTTTGTGTTCGTTGGCTTGAGGCATAGAGTTCTCACCACCCTGCACAAAACCTTGTAGTAGGGTGCAGAACTTGTTTGACAAACTACCTAGACAGGAACTAACAAGAAGGAAAGGGGTGTTGAAGCGGATCTGTTGCAACTATCTCAGAACTCAAAACCTCAACAGGTGCAAGTGGAAACCACAAGTCTCTCCATTCCTCTCTACCTGCATCGCTACGAACGGAGCAAGGACGCTACGAACGGGGCATCATGGGCTCTTCTCCGTAGCCGCTCGGTTTCCTACAGGAGTTTCGTGGCCTACCGAGTTCAGATCGCTGGACCGGTGCAAAAAACTCATCCTGCACGCGTGCGTTACGGGGCACAGGCCTGCCGCGTCTTCGCGGCGCATCAGAATTCCCCACAAGCCAAGAGTTGAGGTCTCCGGTGTAGAGCAAACAGATTCCAGATAGCGTAGCATTAGAATTCCAGCATCAGTTCCACCTCCACAACATCTGGTCTGTAGAGGAATATGGTCCTCACTGAAATGTCGTCGCATGTGTTTCCTTTGTGCCAAAATTCTGTGCTGTATCTTCTGGTTTGATTAGTGGATCCTCCTCACTCAAGAGCAAATCCAAACTGGCAGTCGAACTGTGCTTTGGGGTTAGGTCCAAAGGCAAGTGACAACTTGTCGTCTCATACTCAGAATATCTTGCTGGCGGTTGTTTTCTGCACAAGAACTCAGCTGTGCTCTTAGCTCGTGGGTAAGCTTTGTAGAAATTTCCACACCCCAGATGGGGTAGACCATCCGAATCAGGTCGACCTTTTTGTGTGAAGTTCACTAGGAACAAGTGCATCGCTTCTAGTAACAAGTGCCTCGCTACTAGTAACAAGAAGCTAGTAGAAACAAGTGCCTTGCTTCTAGTAACAAGAAGCTACTAGGAACAAGTTATTGTTCTTTTTTAAACCAAACTTTCCACCTCAAATTGTCGTCGGAATCATCGGATGCCGCGGCACGATCAGCTTCTAAACACTTCTGAAGTTCGTTCTTTTTACACGGAAAGAAAACACAACTTGGAATCAACGAACACGGCAAGAAAAGAGCTGTGGAACGTCCATGTTCCAAACGTTCCTAGATGATGCTGCCGGATCATGCTCTAAGATAATATATCCAGGATCAATGAGCATGAATGAGTACTGTGGTCACGATCCATTTCCATGTTTTCAAACCAAACACAACTTCCATATGCTACTAGTAGCAAGGATTCTACTAGGGGCTCCTGGCATCGCTACTCGGAGCAAGGACGCTACTAGGGGCTCCTGGCCTTACTATTAGGAACAAGAATCTATTAGGAACAAGTGAAAAAGAGTTGTTGTCACTGGAAGACGGTGATGAACATTACAGATGTTGACACTGTTTGAAGGTACATGGGTTGTTCACTTGGGGTGTCGCAGCTGTTTCCCATTTGGAGGACTGACACTGTTCAACGAGTCTGGCCCCGGACCCAGCAGTCTGGACCCGAGAAACCCGAGATCTGAAGATGTTCGCGACCTGGCGGTGGGCGATTAGGGGCGGACCCGCTCCGTAACAAAGGAATCGCTTCCAGTAACAAGTGCCTTACTAGTAGTAACACGAAGCTACTAGGAACAAG